AAACCTACAGGGTACTTCCCGTGAACTCAGAATCTTGAAATTTGGTACGAAGCAACGTTTTATAGGACAGATAAAGGAAAAATTGCGAAAAGCATAAAATTTTAGTTACATCATATAATCAAAATATTTTTAATAATTTTAACCTTATATACCTACAGATTTGTTCGGAACACTCAGTGCGCGAGTCCGACTCGCACTTTGCCGGTTTTTTTTTACCGCGGCGCACGCGGTAAATCAGCATTCAAATTGCAATTAACTATTTTATTGGTACCGGCGCGGCGGGAATCCCATGGGCTTTAACCTAAATCCGCTTCTACAAATTCCATACAGATTAACCTGCCAATTTACATGTCATTCTTCTATCTTGCACTAAAAATAAATTCCGTTTCTAAGCATGGAATAGAAAATATTATGATAGTATTTTTATATTTTTTACGTGGTAGAGCTTTGCTGCAGCTATATTAGTAGTATAGTTGTAGCACGAATGGGTCGGCTCGACCGGGGAAGGACCACGCTCTCACAGAATACCAGCGTAAAGTAGCAGCTTAAAACTGCTGTGTTACGTATGGTGAGTGTAGAGAACCGGAGATCCTTTTTACTGGAAACGAGGCAATCCATCTTAGTCCTCACGTGTGACAACGCATCTGCATTTTGATTCGTAATCGAGGATAGATGTAGATGTCTATGGGCCGCAGCCACCCCTTACCATCAGATAGACTGTGTGCTCATTTGTCACCCTTATCCTATAAAAAAAGTAATTTATTACTATTTGCTTATAAACAATATTTAATTTAAACCATAAACGCATAAAATGCTGTTTAGTGCTAGAGTTAAAGTTATTGAAGGTCAAACACATTTACTCTATTGGCAGCAGTAAGGCGGACGTGCGCTATCTATCAATCAAATCCATATCTTCATCATCCGGATTATTATGACTAAAAGTTTTATGGATGTTACACATAAAAACTAATTCACACCTTCTCCTATACAATATTAAAAATGTATGTTAATTATCATTTACCACACTCCAAAGATGTAATGGGGTATGAAATTCTATTCATTTTTTTTAGTTTTTTTAAGTGTTATCCCCACACTAGGATTTTCTCCTGTATCGTGTAGGCAGTTTACAAACATAAATTGCACAAGGACAAACCCGGAACAATTATTTGTAGGCCATGCAAATATTTTAAATTCCTACTGAAAATAAATTATTTAGCAAAAGTTGGTAAATGAAATATTATAAAAATATTAATACTTTGTTTGAGTTTATCGCTTTTAGGGTTCCGTACCTCAAAAGGAAAAAACGGAACGCTTATAGGATCACTTTGTTATCCATCTGTCTGTCTGCCTGTCTGTCTGTCAAGACCCTTTTTCTCAGGAACGTGTGGAGGTATCAAGCTGAAATTCATACCAAATACTCAAGTCTACCGTTCCTTAGAGCTGTGAAAAAATCAAACTTCTAAGCCAACGCAATCAAAAGATACAGCCGTTTATGCCGTAAATTTTCGACATTCGCAAGGGAATCAAAACATACAGGGTACTTCCCGTGAACTCAGAATCTTGAAATTTGGTACGAAGCAACGTATAAAACGTTGCTTCGTACCAAATTCGCACAGATAAAGGAAAATTTGCGAAAAGTATAAAATTTTAGTTACATCATATAATAAAAATATTTTTAATAATTTTAACCTTATATACCTACAGATTTGTTCGGAACCCTCGGTGCGCGAGTCCGACTCGCAATTTGTCGGTTTTTTTAAATGCTAAAAAAAAATATTTTATTATTTATTGTCTCCATTAGAAACAGTAATAAGTTTTTGTGTGTACGTAAATAAAAAAAAGGTTTATAACATCCAATAGTTAAAGTGAGACACGTTCAAGGAGCTAATTAAATAAAAAATATGTAGGCTTTTATTGCGTTAGTATATGAATATGTAAGTAATTTCTAATAATTATTTATAAACATACCTAAGTTTTGTTCGGGACAGTTCTAGACCCCACGCGTGACTGTGTTACCAAAAACAGCGCGTATACTTAAAGCTTCGCCATTCCCCCAAGACCTTTCCAGTTGATACTGCGTATCTCTCCTGCAATATACAAGATATAAATTAGAATACTCCTTTGGGTCTCAGGCTTCAGTTTTCGTATAAGTTAGGGGGGACATCTGTTCTCGACGTCTCGGCTGTCTTGAAGGTACAGACCTGTCCACCTTTTAGCTGTGACAGCGAGGACCATCTCCGCTTCTATAGGTGACTCAATAGGTCCCTCAATTCCGACAAAGACCGAGTTATCGATCACGTCAAAATGGTTGCAGACATTGTGCTAGAACAGATCCCATTTACAGACATCGTCATCCTTGGTGAATTGCTCGGTTCATGTTTTGCCAATTAGCATATTAGAGTTTGGCTCGGCATATGGTCTGACATAACTGGTTACTTCACTTGCGCGGTTTCCAGTTGTGGAGCTTCATGCACATTTACTTTTAGGCTTTTTTTGCGCCCAGAAGCAATTAAAAAGGTCTACCCCGTTAACGCGAGGAGGTGGTGAATGCTTTATGCATACCACGACAGCCGGTCTGTCGTGGTTATGTGGGACTCAACCTATCCTACCACCTTACGTATACCAACTAAACACCACCTGTGGGACTGGCATTGGCATATTAGGCCTTTCTGCCGAATCAGAAGCGACCCTCTTTTGCGCCCCGCAGGCGGGTACGAGCCGCTGAGGGGGAGCCTACTAAGGCAAATTTAAGAAGAATCGGTCTGAGCCGCCAGGAGGCAGTTCAGGTTGGTTGAAAGTTTGTTTTTCGGGTCCGATAGAGAGTTTCTCGGCCTGCGAACTCAATAGCGAGAGGAGAGTGGGGCTGCATAAGTAGCTGCCTCACGAATAAAATGATTGGAGTGAGACTCTGAGGCTTTGAAGAAGTTCACAGAGAGTGTTTTAGAAATTGTTGGATTGTAGGGAGCTCTAAGTCCCGATGGAGGTCGGCGTTACGGACGTACGAGGGTGCGTTCGTAGCTCGACGATAGAAGAGGTTTTGAACTATTTGGAGTTCATTAATGATTTTGGGGTCAGCGTAAGCAAATATAGGGCCCGCGTAAGACATGACTGGTCGTATACAGACCTTGTAAAGGGTTCGCTTGTTTCGGAGGGACATTTTACTCTGTCGGCTCAGTATACTGTTTAGCCTACTCAGATAAAAACGTGCGTTGCGGGTTATTCTTTTGACATGGGGCCCGAACGTGACCCTTGTGTCAAGTGTGACACCTAAATATTTGGCAGACGTATGCCAGGGGACAAGGGTCCCTAGCATACGTATTGGTGGAGTATTTTTGAGTCGGCGTCGTTTATAATCGAAGTGAACCGCGGAGCTCTTCTCCGGGTTCATATCGATGCGCCATTTTTGGAACCAAGCTCCTAGGTCGTTAACTGACTTTTGGATCTTGTTCCGTATGAAAGGTAGCGAGATAACTTTACAATAGAGGGCAGTGTCGTCTGCGAAGAGGGAGAGCTGAACACCTTCCGAAGGGATGGGAATGTCGTTGGTGAACAGGATATACAGGAGAGGAGCAAGTACTAAGCCCTGAGGGACACCAGGTTTGATTGGGCGATGAGAGGAGAGCGTGCCTTTGGGTCTAAAATGAAAAGTACGATCCTTCAGGTAAGAGGCCACGAGACGTACAAGACGATCAGGGAGACCTATTTTATATAGTTTGTAGATAAGACCTTCGTGCCAGACTCTACCAAAAGCTTTTGCAATGTCGAAAAGACCGCGATGGTCTTATGACGACGAGGATAAAAACGGCTGAGGATATATTCTACAATACGGTGAACTTGTTGGGGACAAGAATGTTTCGCTCGGAAACCAAATTGGTGGGGGATGACAAGAGGGTCACCGTCTGTGGGAAACAAATGGAGCCTCATGCGAATGAGGATGACTCTTTTGAAGAGTTTGCCCTTTGCCTTGAGGAGGCTGATGGGACGATGATTGGAGGGGAGGTTGCTCTTTTAGGCTTTTAACTGATCTCTTATATGGACGGTCATCAGATCTCCATCAACGTCTCTCTTGGATCTTTGGATCATTGCCTGATCCGGAGCACGTGATGGTACCACACACGCTCCTATCGTGGTTGCGTTCTGCAGGTTGCCACCATGTATGGCTCTATAAGTCGGCTGATTGGGACAGGATGCGGTCATTCGCTACTTCGTTAGTATAATAGTCCATTGCTGGGGGATTTTTCCATAGTTGCCACGCTTGGCCGGTGGGTTGGAAACCGCAGTTTTTTATTATTTTGAGTTGTTATCAGGGAGATGCTGCTGCCCATCCTCTGTTTTAGTTTCTCCCTGTAGCCTCTTACGACACCTATGGGGCGATAACCACCACTACACTGTATTTTTTTAAATTCTTCCATTTTATACTATATCTACTAGCTTAACCGGCGCATTGCTGCCACTGAAGAAATAATTGTGGAAATATCGGTTCGTTTGAGTTATATTGTTTAATTAAGAATGAAATTCACTAAAATTGAATAATATATTATGACTTTCAAATAAATTTGTCTACAATACGCGTGCCACCTACTGTAAGGTAATTTTAGATAACCTTCGCGCAAGTGCAAGCATTAAATTGACAGTTTTACTGCAATGAGATGAACGCTATGGCAGCTAATAAGATACGAACAAACAGAAATTAATTTTTATATATTAGATTTATTTAATAGTTTTTATTATCACATTTCATGGGAAATATTTTTTTATTGTATCGGTCACGGTCCGCAGCCCTTGCTACTAGCACATATAGGACCCATTGACCCCAGTTATTCCGTCCTGATTACTCTGGTAAACTTGAATAGCCATTATAAATTCGGACCTTCCTGTTTATCCTTTACTTCATCGTCAGTCAGTCAGAGTACAGCGTTCATAGAAACGAGATACTCTTTTGCTGTGAGGCATTACTATAAAATTTCCGTTTTTTTTTCTTTCATACTTTTGACGGCAACATGAATTTTCGAGCAACATTCTTGATTGGTTTTGTAAGTATATTTTTATTAACACAACAGTTAAAAAACTAACTAGCCAAGATCCGCATGAAAAATTAAATAGTGTATATATGTAGAGCCTCATTTGACAACTTTAAGCCCAACACCATTTGCTTATTGGGAAATTTACATCACCGGCGATAAATTTATGAACAGCACTTTATTTATTCAACTTTATATTGGTTGAATGTTTTTTTCATTTTTAATATTGTGATTTCCACAAAATAACACCTGGTTAAATTAATTATATTATACTTCCTGGCTTATCGTGCGCTACTTGAATCATGTAAAACTTATTAGAATCAATATAAAAGTACAATGTTTCTGTTATTGACGTTATTATCTTTACTATTAACTTCGTTGACTGTGTGAATCGTTGCTAAACATAGTAGTCCTTTCCTGGTTTGAAAGATTTACTGGAATCACGAGGCTTAGTAGCGGATGCGAGACTGGTTTGAGGCATTTTGTGTATTAATATGGTCACAGTCAATGTACTTGACCAAAAATATCTAAAATTTTGGTCACGTTTTTTTTATTCCCATTCACAGGCTCTTCTTTAGTTGACTTTCACAACGTCAACGAGACGAAATAGTGAATCGAATCGTTTTTTTATTATTTTTTTATATTAGAATCATTGTTATATTACTGTGATTTTTATTAAATCCATTAAAATTGTCGTATGTAACGATTTAATGTAAATAATAATATTTATATCTTCTTCTTCTTTCTCAACAGGTCTTAAAAGTCCACTGCTAGATATGGGGTTCTTCCGTTATAGGGTTGATTTGCCTTAATAAGCCAGAGTGCCCTGTTGGTCTAGTGGTGGTAAACGAGGCTGCTGATTATAAAGTTCTGAGTTCGAAACTCAAGTTTGGCTAAAAAACTGTTATTGAGTTTTTTTGTTATTGGTTGATATACAGTACATGGAAAGACCCAATCTGCATCCATATTATTGTTGTAACGTAGGGATTGGCTCAACAGGGTAAAAAATACTCTCTGATAGAATACTAACGTGAAATAGTATCATAGTGCTGTGTTTGCATGGTGAGTGTAAAATACCGGAGACCCATTTTACTAGAAATACGGCATTCCATATTTATCCTCAAGGGATTTGGATTCTTAATCGATGATAGATTTAGATGTCTATGGGCCACATACTCCAACTTACTATCGGATTGTATTTGGGTTGTTACACATAATATTACTTTTTGCTGTTGAATTATGTAGGAATCTGCCGAGCTACACCTGTTTGTCGACGTTCAAGATGATAATCCGCAGGAAAACAACACCGTAAGGAAACGTGCATGTGTACATGCACGTTTCCTTACGATGTTTTCCTGGCGCTGTTGTTAACAGTGCCGACAACTTAAAATTTCGACAGAATGTTTTTGTAGAGCCGGCGAGTAATGGACTAGAATCAAGTAAGCCTCTGATAAACTAAAACTCTTAGAAATTAATCCAAAGTATCTTCTTTGAAGTAAGGTGGAACAGTGGGACATATGTAGGATGTTTGTTTATATAATAGGCACTACATAAATAAAACTACGATTATTTTTAGAACTAATAATAATATAAGATTATTTTGATGTATATTTTCAGCTGCTTGTGGTAGTAGCAGTAGCATTTCCATCTGACGAAAACAGATCAAAACGTGACGTCATGGATTCCGTGAAAAGTGCTACGAATGATGCGTCAAAGGCGATAAGTGACGCGGGCGACGCTGTTGTTGACGCGGTCAAGCCAACAGAGAAGAGTGCTAAAGATAAACTTGTAGACGGTGTTAAAAATATTGGTCAATAACCGTTTTATGAATATGCAATTGTATGAAAGGAATTATAAGGAAAATATATTTAATTGATGAAATTAACATGTATGTCAATCAACTCTTTTTTTTATTCATACTAAACCCTTCCCCTCCCCTCTCACACATACACTAGGAATAATTGATTCTGTACTGTAATAGCATTTGATGAACAAAAATTTCACAACAAAACATGTATACCAAGAACAATTCGCGAGAGATTCGAATTCGCGGCTCGAAGCGCCGCATCCGGGGTTAGCTACTGTGCTACCGATATTTATATCTTCGAATTAATGCTCTTTTTTAAAGTTGTTAGGTAAAAGTGCTGTTGACCTTTAAATCTTTCTTTGTCCCTTTCTTACCTCTAAAGACTTTCAAGGGATGTCATGGGGTACTTACGATGCCACTACTGCCACTACACTGCACAATACACAATAATTGGATATGGATAAGTAAATTTTACGATTACGAATTCTTCTGCGTTATACATTCATTGTATTACAATTATCAAAAAAAAATGTGTTTATCCTTGATCGGCAAATCTGGGGGCACTCGGCATTCGGCACGGCCGTACCATCCTTTTCTTGAAACAGTTCAGTCCATTTTCGGCCCCTATAACTTCGTTGTGGATAAAAGTAGAAGCCATTTCAGTTACCAAGCATACATTGTATAGACACGGTATATTTCAAATTTCATTCAATTTAAACAAGTAGTTTAAGAATTATAACTAGTCAAAGTTTTTAATTTTGTCACTCACTCACTGACTGACCGATCATCAAAACTCTTAGGCACTTCTAGTAGACGTAGAAGCTTCAAATTTAGAATAAAATTAGTGTTTAGTGTTTAAATCAAGAAAAAACTAAAATATTTTGTAATTTTGGTCCAGTTTTTTAGATACACCAACTGCATAAAAAACTTTGTTATCCTATATAAATATATAGGATTACAAAGTTACATTTGCAGTGAATAAATAAGTGTACCTGTATATGTATAATAAATATAAAGGAATAATAGGTGTAGATAGGTACCTAGATATATTTATGTTCAAAGGTAAATTGTAAAATGGTCAAAGGAATGTAAAAGCAACAATGGGAAAAGTGTTATGAAGTTGTACCAAAATCCCGCAAAGTATTAAATACACTAAATTGCTCGAAAATCTGTAGTTGATATTCAAGAAGTAGAAGGTACTGAAAAGGAAAAAAGTAGGACTATCTACAAAAATAAATGAGATGCCATCAAAAACATAACTGGTAAAAAAGCCAAGTCTCGCAACTCAGTTCTTCTACCGTAAAAAGTTGTGAGATCCATGTAATACCAAGTCAGTTAATTTATTCAGTCGTAGGGACTAATTAAGGGTCTTTCTGTCTCAAGTTATTATGTAATTAGCTAACCTAACAACATGTTATAGTAACCATATCAATATTAAAAATCTTTTATATTTTAAATACATAGATTGACATGGCAATCGCACTAAAAAATCTAATTTAATATAATATGTATTACTTGTGAGATACATTGTGTTTTCATGCGATTCTGTCCCAAGGAAGTGTTGAATTTATTTCCATAAGTGTCTCGTCAACAACATTAAGTATAATTAGGAATGTGTCGACAAGGGTTGCTTGCGTACACTCAGAATCATCAAACGGTATCCACTAAGGGTCATACAGATCTACGCACATGGTTTACGCTTAAATAACTGTAGACGTCTAGATAGAATATATGTAAATGAAGAGGTTAATCTGTATGGACTTCCAAGTTTCTGTAATACGATTTAGAGATACTTTATAAGTAAAATTAATTTTTTAGACATTTTTCACACAATAATGGCGTCATATCGGCTGTCATATAACTTAAATAAAGAGGATTCTACCAAATAGAGGCGACTATGGAAAATACCATACAACAGAATGGAAAAGAATAATTTTTATTCAATATAGATTATACATTAATTCCAAAACAAAAGTAGTCTAAGTTATTCCCTGTGACATCAGCTATCTGCCAGTGAAAATCCCGTCAAAATCGGTCCAGCCGTTACGGAGATTAGCCGGAACAAACAGACAGGCAGACGGACAGATAGACGGACAGACAGACAAAAATTAAAAAAAATGTTTTTTGTTATGAGTACCGCATACATTTTAATATGCATTTAGTAAAAGCTGTAATTTTGACTTTACAAACAGACACTTCAATTTTATTTATTTGTATAGATATAAAACTTTGCAACAATTTTGTACAATTTTTAATATGAGTTTTAATTGAACCAGCATGGTGCTGCTTACCTCATTCCCAGGGTTTATTTTCTCATTTTTACTCTTTGTACAGTTTTTGAAGTGAAAACGTCTTTAGGCACGTTGGACACTTTTGGGATGGGTTAAAAAGACAAGATAGTCATGCAGATATCAGATACATACATACAAAAATTATGTTTACGAGTTTGTGAACCTAAGAAGTTTTCACTTCTGATGTGCAGTCCAACGACTGACAGTTTTTTCTTTAGCAAACTTTTAAATTTGTTTATGGCCAAACTTTGAACATGTTCCGGAATTTTGAAAATAAAAATACCCTCTTTGGGAGCTGAAATGAAATACATCTTTTATTTTATAGAAAATTTTATGCAAGTACAAATTTACCTAAGGTATCGCTATTTGATAATAATAGAACAAAAACTAATTTAAACCTTAAACGGATAAAATTGTTACAGCTAAATGTGCTAAAGAGGCCAAATATAAATTTAATATTTAATGATTTTCAATTGCAGCAGTAAAGCGGATGTGCGCCATCTGTCAATAAATCCGTATTATTCTCCTCAGTATCATTATGACTAATTTTTATGGATTTCACACATAAAAATTATACACTTTTCAAAAATAAATAAAACACACTTTTTTGTTTGAAATTAATTTGAAATTTTATATTTCAATTTTATGCTAGTTATCTTTTACACCACCTGAAGATGTAATGGAATATTCAATCCTTGCCTTTTCAGCACATGACATTGATCATTTATTAAGTAAAAACTGGTTTCTTTAATTGAAATATTACAAAAAAAAGCAATGGTAATGGCAGCTTATAATCAACTAGCCAGCCGGGCAAACTTTGTACTGCCCTCTTCGACGACCCTTTGTCCTATAAAAAAATCTTGAATTCATAATAATAAATATTGGGGGTCACTTATCGGAATAAAAACTATCCTATCTCTGAAGTTAGACTAAACTGCGTACAGTGCGCAAAATTTCATTGAAATCAGTTTTGCAGTTTGGGAGTTCATCGCGGACAAACAACGTGACACGTAATTTCTATATATAAAGATTGTAATACACACTGTTCCATTTATGAAAATTTTTAATCCCTTACCTCCATTTGAAGAATATAAAAGTTTAACAAGGATTTGTAATGGTGTTTCAGTTAACACTGTATGTATCCATATTTATGTAATCGCTACTTTCGGGCTCTGCAGTCCAATTTAAAAACTATAATTTAAAGATGTTACATTTGTCTTTTCTCATTTCTTTCAGCACATTTTCAAAGTAGCTTATAATAACAATATGGTAGAATTTGTCATTTTGACAATAAAAAATCCAACGTAAGTTTGAATTAAAAAAACAAAACAAAATCAAAGAAAATGGACTCTAAAAATCTATATAAATAAAATGATAGAGGTTTGCAGTTGTGCGCGCATCACGGAAAAACTACTGGATAGATTTCAATTAGGTTTTCTAAGTTTTATTTCTTAGACACTTGGCCCTTATTTAAAAAAAAAGTTTGCGATATCTTCATTTATTATACAATTATTAAAGTTTTAAGAAACAACTTCTTTTAAAAGCACTACGAGTACGTGTTTAGTGATGTGTGTAAGCAACGCGAAGTCGCGGGTGTCAGCTAGTACATAATAATTTGACTTTCAGAATTCGTTATTATTCATACACCTGATTGTAAGTGGTTACTCTGGCTCATAGACATCTACATCTATCTTCGATTGCGAATTAAAATGCATATGCGTTGTCAGCCGTGAGGACTAAGATAGAATGCCTGCTTTCTAGTGAAAATGGGCTCCACTTCTGTACACTCACCACACGAAATACAGCAGCGTTAAGCTGCTATTTTACGCTGGTATTCTGTGAGAGCGTGGTCCTTCCCCGTGCCGACCCATTCGTGCTACAACTATACTACTAATATAGCAGCAGCATGGCTCTATCACTTAAAAATAGGCATAATCATAAATAAAACGAGTTATTTACATCATAAATTTAAGAAAAAACTCTCAAAAAACCTGTACTGCATCATGAAATCCCGAAAAGGACCAGTCCCAATGATAGCACTGATTTTCAATCCAGCCCATACCCTGAGACAACTCAGGCGGTGAGACGCAGAGTGCACGCTTGCTCTTGTTTAAGCAGGATAGTGTATGCATGTGATATCTTTAGCAGTTTTGTAAATTAAAGGAAAAAACTCTGACACCCTATTTACACTCTCGCGCGAGCGGCGAGGCGAGTCGCGAGGCGAGCCACGAGGCGCGAGTGTAAACGCTAGCTCGTGGCACGCCTCGCAGCTCGCCTCGCCACTCGCGGCGCTCGCGTCGGAGGCGGTTTTTTGGGCACGAGGCAAAGGGCCTCGCGAGGGACGCGAGCGTGGTGTATACACTCGCGCTCTCGTTTCAGTTTGTTTACGGCGCCCTTCCATAATATCATTCGAATTGCTTTTATTTAAAATTACAATTTTAATAAAATAATGTCATTTAATCTTACACAATAAGTACTAGCAATTTATATAAAATTATGAAACTGAAAAGGTTCTGTTTCGATGAATAGATATCATCCACCATATTTTTCCTCAACGACGTATTTTTATATATATATTTTAATTTCCTTCTTTTTAAAATGGTCAAGCATCGATAAATACTTATTAAAGCAAGAGTTGATGCCGCTATTATTTCGACGTCTTCCATCGTTGCTGGCTCAACGCAAACTGAACGCATCGCGAGAGTGTAAACAGGTACTCC